ACCAAGAAATATACGGAGGATCGATACTTTTGAAACGAGCGGTTGAAATTTTTAAATATAAAACTATTCAAATCTCGTAACGTATAAGCAATCGAAACGACGAATTCAGCGGCGGTTAAAAAAATATCGGCATTACGCATGCCACGTACGATTTTCCGTGACATTCCCACCCCCCGAAAGGATTAATATACGCGATGAAGCGCAAAGTCAATCGCGCCAAGTCTCGCGTAAAGTGCACTTTGTTCGTGGAAATCGAGGTAGTTTAATCAGAAAACTGCAGGGAACGAGGCTAACGTAAGTACCCTCCATCGTTGGAATGTAGGGGCATTTAAGTAGATGGAGGGTACAGACCCCTGTCTACTCCATTTGCTTTCAGCCCGAGGGACCTCCCCGATATATATCCCAATATTCCCGGTAACAATGATGAATCACTGCGGAGCACCTCTTGCGCAAGAAGTTGCACATCCAGTGCGCTTGTAACCGTCTCTCTGGCTCCCCCTTCAGGGCCTCCTTTCGCGCCATTCCTCTTCCTGGCTCTCGAATACTCGCGGACTCGCCTTAACCGTAATAATGCGTTCCAGTACTTGGAGATGTTACGTAAAGCTTGATGGAACAGTCGGATAAATAATGAAACTCCCGCTGAAAACTTCCCGTTGGTTCGCTTTCGCAACGAGCGGCGACCATCGAAAAATACCGTGCAATTTTCAGGCCACAGCGAGATTGCGTTTCGGGATACGCGTCGTGTACCAGGAACGGGAAGCGTCTGGCTGAGGAGCTTTAAGTATTATGGAAATTTAGGTGCGGTTTGTTTTCGCAGAAATTGCGACTGGACTCTGAGAAACTGGAGGAAAATACTAATTTCGGAAGTTTAGAAAAATTAAGGGAGCGGTAATTCCACAGCGTCTGTTCAAGTTCTAGGCGAAATGTTTCGCTGAAAATTGGAAGCTTAAGTTGGACCAAAGCAAGGGAATGTTTTCAGGGGAATCAGGAGAAAAATAAAATACAGGGTGACGCTAAGTTTGCCGACCGGTATTGGGCCCGACCTGTCGTTTTTCTCATCCTTTCGTTAAATCTTCATTTACAGACGGATCGTCTCGCGACCAAGTCCAACGGAGAGGGTAAAGGAAAGAGAGCAACGCGGCTATTTATTGGCGCGATAAATCAGCAGCTGAAACGCGTTCACGGCGACCAATTAGCGTTGTGGATGTTAAGATCGCTGGGTCAGAGCCCATGTAATAATGACGAATCAGTTCGAGGCCGGTCTGGTGGCATAGCTGGCTTGCCTCTTATTAATAAATTCGCTTCCCATGCGACGTCCTATGAATCATTCGATAGGCAACAGGGGAGATTCTATTAGACTGATTGGCTTATGCCTACATGCCTCGACTTTGTGCCGATTCGTCTTCGTTCTTACGTCGGGGCCAACAAATGCGTATTTTGTGCGGCTATTCCTCTACGTTCCGGATTCGATGCTCGTTTCCTACCACCCAGTCAGTCGTTTGCTTAAATCGTTGTACCGGTTTATAGCTCTGCGTAGGAAAACAATTTACGTTTCCCTCTGTCTCTCTTTATCGATGGTAGGAAAGAATGGGCCGTGAAACCGACGCATGGAGCATCCGTGAACGTAAAAACGTGGTTTCATGAGTTAATAGCAAGGGGATGCGGTAAACACAGTTTGCAGTTTTCTCTACTCCCTGTATAATACAGATTCATCGGAGGGTATCAGGCAGCATTTGTGACTTTTAATTGGATTACCGCGATAACCCTGAATAACGTTAACGAGCCAGTCAAACATTTAATTAATTTAAAATCAGTGAAATAAATCCGCAAGCAACTCTCGATACTCAACGACACAACTCCTCGGTTTGATCCTCGCCCGACCCACTTCGAAACTCGACCTCATTAATTCCAAAAACATTCGCCAACCCTGGAGGCGTGAAGGAGAAGAGGAACGAAGAGGGGAGGGAATCCACAGGTTCTCGGCGCTCGTAACCCCAAAAACTCATGCTACTCGAGCCCATGATGCTGGTAGCTACCTTACGTTGGATCATACTTCATCCTGGATGGGATTAACTCCCCTAATTTATCGACTCTATTTCCAACAGAAGGAGGGAGGGGGGGCGGGATTTCGAGTCCCCATGACTGAAAGTTAACATTGTTTTGCGGGGACGATCCCTCCCAGGGACATGCCGAGTCATCGAGCAACGAAGCGCATACGGGACCTAATATGCATACCGCGTGTTTGTAATCGTCGCTGACATGATACTTTATGCATACTCGTCGCGGACTGAATAATTGATAAATCGCCGTACCGACGGCAGATAATTGGGAATATGTATCTTACGGTACTCTAGGCTGTCGCGAATGCAATATTGAATGCGCTACGATACGATCGAGTTCATGTATGCATTTATAACTATACATACGAGTTAACCCGTAAGCGCAAGCAGACACGTCACCTAGCAGAGCGAGAGGGGCACGTGCTCCTGGGCACCACGATATAAGAGCCCTAAGCTCCTTTAAAAAAAAAAAAACTACTCAAGGTTTTCGCCATTACTTGTGAAATTGTGTAATTTGTTTAAGAAAGTGATCTATCTGCGTTTCGTTAAAAATATTTCTTTGCCACCCTTTTCCTTATTTATTTGAAAATTTAAGCTAGATTCTGTATACGGAATTGCGCGTGTATTTGAAATGCAAACATTGCTCTATATATGGATCGAATATGGCCATCTGCCTTCATTCTTAGGAAACTGTTAGCTTACCGGCCATGGTACATGTCTGCATTACCACAGCGATGTATAGCAAACAGAACTCTTCTTTACCATGAGGCGATAAGTTACAAGTGTTCTAAAGAATCTACAATAGAAAACTAATAACCTCACCGAAGATTGTAATCGGCAAACAACCATGAGCCATGATTTTCTGAAAATTTCTCATGTACATAACGTGTAAACGAAAATCGACTCGATGCTACCAGTATACACCGACCCGAATAAACTTGTACGCAGAGGTCCCATAACATAAATGAAATCGATAGATACCGGGTGACAATTTATTCAAACTGATTCTTTACGTCTGAAAACATAAATGGTTTGAACTTTTGTGCAACTTCTTTTGTCGATACAGCATAAACGAAAGAGTTTACGTTTGCTATCGTTACCCGACGGTCCTTCGAGTCATTGTTGTTTTATACAGAGTGCGCGACGAACGATATCATTGCTTCTCGTACAGTCGATAATTTAATTTTGTTAATACAGCTTTCATAGGCTGATAGCATAAATGTGGCATCGAATCAAGTATCGTACTTCATTTTATCATACATATACCGCAAAGGAGTTATAGAATGGACAAAGGATTCTATGGACATTTTTTATTCTACAATTCGGTAGGTTATATTTTTGTGTTACTTCCATCGTTATCGATTCAGAATTGAATATGATTGTAACACTCGTAACGCTGAGAATGGAAACAATCATCGCGAAAAAGTATTACCATTTTATTTATTAAATCAGAGTTCTTTACATGGATCATACATCTCTACATGGGAAGAATTGATATCCATTACGTTGATCGATCAAAGGACCTTTGATGGTAAAGTCTCGTGATGCGACTTGGTAATCGAAAGAATAATCGTTCTTCGCGAGTAATATCAAGCTAATCGGCTGCGAACTTGGTATAGCTTTCTTAGATGTGAGAATCTAACTCTGATAGATCTCAATAAATTCTTCCCGAATGGCGTGACCTGGTTTTCTTCTTTCCCCATTTCTTTTCCACTCCCTTTATGCGATCCTAAATTATGTAGCACAGAAAGATATATAAAAGTTCCAAGTGTTGTTTGATCATTGTTCCCCTAGCATGTGAGACATTATAGAGTAGGGTCCGAGGATATATATTGGACTTGGAAAATTTTAGTAACGCGCTAGGGTAGCTGCAACTTGTTAGATAAAGTAGTATGAAATGGTCTGGTTGCATTTATTAAATGTAGGGCTGATTCTGCGACGACCCAAATGATCACATCGGTTTCGGGAATAGAAAGATAGACTTCAACATCCTTTCTGGCAAAATCATACATCGATAAATCAGTATATTTCACAGGTATTCGCGTTATTTCCTCCAGCTCTTGTAGTTGTTTAGACAGCATTCGAGGGTGACTAATTTCGAATTCGAACGACAGCCCGCGGGGATGCCGTTGCTAGGCAACCCACCGAGGAATCCACCGCTGTTGGTGTTCCTACTGGCGAATGATAACGTTAACTCGTTCCGAAATCTGATTGGCTCGGGTCTTCGGTTGTAGAGGTTTAACGGTTGTAAATGAAATCAATATAGCGATACTCCTGTTTCGCGTGCAATGCGATAATGTGCTATTGTCGTAAAACAAGACCTTGTCTTATTCACGCGATTCGACCACGCGAAACAGCGTAAGGGTTAAAAAGCACGGATGTCTTCTTCCGTTACAGGAAGCAATTGTTAACGACCGCTCGATACCATTCCTCTGCACCTCCGACACATTCGCGACAAAGCGATCCACGGGGTGGCACGATTCCCTCGCGCAATTCCTGGACGCAATATGCAGGGGATTTTCTCAAAAACTAAACCGAACGATACAGAATTTAACTATGCAAACTGCCCGATATCTCGTGCCACCCACCGAGGAAGCGTACAAAGCCGCCGCGTCGTCGCGAATCTGTCAACTGTGCACTTTCAGATCCTTCTCCAGATAATCGTTTCACTGTTAAACATCCCCTATTCGTGATCGCTCGCGTTCCGAGGTATTTCGTAAATTTCTTAAGGATAACGGTACGATCATTGAAATTTCGAAACCGTGGTATCCGAGAGAGCCTGAACTTTGGAACGACCAGGGTGTAACGAGGACGTGGAGAAAGAGGGAACGATGGGGTTGTTCGCGAAGCGGGGATGATACTGGGAACGGCGCGGGACCGCATGCTGGCTCGTTTTGCTCCCCGGGACGAACTTTCGCTCCCTCGTGATAACGTCAGCTCTCGAGCATGTGTAGAAGGGAGCAGCACTCGACTTAGTTCGATACCGGACGCCGTGGCGTTCGGGCCGTCCCTGAACGCTCGTGACTATCCTCTTGGACTTGGTCCTCGCTCCTCTTCTACGGCACGCGTGTCTTTGCTCGTCTCGCGTTCCTTCGAGTCTCAAAGATACGCGATCACGCACGGGAACCTAACTCTGTACACGGTTGTTCGCGATATGCGTATTTTTAAATTATCTTCGACGTCGCGCATCCCCTTCTGGTATATACGCAAGCAAAAGAAGAGGGAACAATTCTTCCGCTGCCGTTCTTCCTCGCGAAAAGCTAAACGGTAAGACGGAACGTTTCCAAACTTGTCGTGGTAGTACATGTAGACGTAAACGTAGGTCTTGGTAGATTTTCTGCGACCCTAGGGACGAGACAATTACGTTCCCACTAATTAGACTCATCTGATGTTGCGTTGATATCCTTTGAGAATTCGAGCAACTCGACTGTCGGATTTATCGATGATGTAGCCAGCGGTAGCAGCAGCAGAGGCATGTTGTTTGTCAACTGTAGCATCAGGTTGGAGGATAGCGTTACATTTATCGAGTCTCCCAACGTAGATGTGTAGATTTCCTTTCGTAGATAGCTCGCTGCTTTCGCGCACAATACCTAATAGACTCCCCGTGTCCCAGTGGATGGGGCTATAACCGAATACATTTCCATTCGATGAGATTCATCCGCCTGTTGTCACACTTTAGTCATTTTCGCGTACGGAAATAACTCGACTTTGACGATGTAAGTAGATAGATACACGGACAAGTAACGTATTATCCGGTCTGGGACAGTGCTTCCTGGGAGCATTAAACCACAACGTAACGAGATTTCGTATAGAGATAACTTGACTTTGACGATGTGGATAGATGGATAGGCAAAGCATTCACTGTGCGCACTGGGACAACGTCCTCTGAGAGTATTAAGCCACAATACGGAGAGTCCTACAAAGCTGAATAGAAATGCAGGCTCTGTTTCACCGATGATACAGAATTCAAAGTGGATTTCAAGAATGATGAATGAATCCGGTAGTAGCAGAGACCCGTTGTTTTTAAACTGTATTATCACGTTAGGTGATATTCTTATATTTTTGGAGGCTGACGTTGACGTATCGGTCCTCTTTCTTTGCAACTCGTTGCTTTTGCTCATCGAGATTAATAGACTCTCAATGTCCCAGTGGATGAGAAATTGGGTGACTTTGTGACATTTATGCATAGAATATAGATGCCATTATATTTGTGAAAAAAATTCACGAGAGGTTGAGGAGATGTTGTCGCAGACGTTGTTACACGTTGTTTTGGCTGAGAGTTTGGACTATTAAAAGCCAGAAAATGTAATACTTTCTAAACTAATACCGAGAAAGTTCTGCAACAACCTTGCTAGCTTTTTTCGTACGCAGTTCGCTGCTTTCGCTCGCCAGATCTAATAGACTCCCCGTGTCCCAATGGATGAGGCTATAACGGAATACATTTCCAACAATGAGATTCATTCGTCTGCTGTCACATTTTCCTCTTTTTCTCATCGAAGCGATTCGACTTTGTCCATCGGATCGCGCGATCGTTGAACATTTTCAGAATTACCTACAGATTTTTAAACTATGGATTTTCATCGTAAAACTGCCTGTTGCTATCAAATCTAGACTTCGTAATTTAGTCTTACGGAAAAGGGATTGCAAGTAAGGCAAGTTTAAGAGTTGTTGATGTATGTAGGAGTAAGAGAGATCCGTTGTTCGTCAAGTGTATTATCACGCTGGAGAATACTGTTACGCTCACTTTAATCTAAGGTTTCAACTTTTATTTCGCTCGCAGTATTTAACGTTCATCTCGTTTTCGTGGAATCTGCGCGGGATAAAAGGATGCCTTTCTCTACGAAAAGAAACCTTTTCTCCGATGGTAATTTCATCGGAATTCGATACCAGCCAGAAGAGAAATACGTGTTTACGCGCGCACTATTTGTGTGTCAATATGCCGGTCGCATTTTGCGTCATAGGACGCGTAGTTACAAGCTATAAAGTCCTCTCGGCCAAACGCTACACGGTGGAAGATTTCGTTTCTAAATGAAAATTTCTCTGGTAGAATTTATGTTCTCCGATAATATCGGATAGGTAACAAGACACGTTCTATGGCGTAGTAGGAAAAGGCTGGCGTTCTTCTTAAGCTGGTGTATAATTAAAAACGGACGATCGTAGGGTGCGCCTAAGATCAATTAAGGAAAACTGTTCGTAAATATTTTTAGCATCGGTAAATACTAAATGCGGTGGAAAATGTTTACAGCGCTTTAGTCTACCGTGATTAAGTTGTACACCTTTTTTGCACGAAAACATCGTGCACGCTCTGATTACTAGCACACGCCGCCTCATCCTGCATCGTCCCATACTTCCGCGCGTTGTCAGAGTACGTCGCCATAAATAAAGTCCTTCCCTCCCCTCCCCCCCTCCCCCCCACCACCACCACCACCACCGCCGGGCTCGCGGAAAAATAAAATGATTCTGTCGAAATTTATTCCATCGAAATGGTAGCTACATTCAAATCGCGATCTAAGCGAATACGAATCGTCGATGACGGACGCGTTACGTGCTTTTTGCGACGCCTCCAGCGACTGTCTCGTCTTGTTTATACAAACAAATTAGTGAAAATGTTGGCACTAGCGTAGGGAATTTCGATGAAACGTCCGACCTTTATATTTCTTTCGCATTTGCGCGTGGTATACATTACATTATCCGAATGTATGAAACAATTTCCGCCCAGAAAGGGAGTCTTCCCTTTGAATTTGAATCCTACTATCGATTGAAATGAATGATGCTATCCGAAGGTTACAAAAAACTTGTGATTTTTTTTGTGCTAGCTCAATCTGAAGTGGAGATACCCATCCCGCCATGGAGGTACTGTCCTTTATTTTGAATTGTAGTACCCCGTACTCGAAATAGATTTCCCCGTAAACGCTTACTTTTAAGCTAATAGAGCCTACCCTTGAAACACATTTACTCTGTAGAGATCGATACGCGTAGCATTTCCTCGCAAACGCGATACACGATCGTTTAGGTATTCGACACTTTACAAAAGGCTGTTTTATCGTACGTAGCGAGGATACTGGGAGAAATCGAGCACAGAGACAAATAGATACGGGTCAATAGGCTAGCCAAAGCTGTGGAGGCAAGCGAGCTAGGGACCGAGCGGAAGACAGGGTTGGAGGCCCATGGCCGGGAACTCTTTCAGTCGCCGGCTTTGGTCGTGGATCTCGATCGTGATCCTGCTTGGATGCGTACATTTGTCCAGTACTCAGCAAGCACCGTGCATTTCCTACTCGTCGAACGTAAGCGAAGTCGGCTACGATCAACCAGAAACGGAAGTAACGATTTTCCTAAGAGAACACTGCGACCATGAAACCAGTGCCACGGATATACAAGACTTCTTGGATCGATCGAACTTCGACCTACAGATCACCGTGATACCCACGTCTCGTGAGTATTATTTTCCTCGCACCTTTTAAACGCACCGAGTTAGATTAACCCCTTCGGGTCTGCTGTACTTAAAGATTGTTATTTAACCAAGATCAATCGATTCTTTTAAACGATAAATGTCACGAAGGCGTTATTGATCTTTGCTCGAGCGTTTTTCGTGAAACTAACTTCTGTCTAGAGAACATCTAAAATGGTATTTTTATCGTATTGCAACGCAAATACATATTTTCCTCAGTGTCCTGCGAAACCAAGACCCGAGGCCTCGATACTCTGTTGCGCGTACTCGGGCAGAGAAAAACCAGAGCCCTGGTAGCTGTCCTCGACTCCCCTATGTGCGAAGTTACCTCTAAACTCGCGCAACTCTGGAACGTACCGCTATTTACGTGGACGTGCCCTTTGGTGAGCAATTTAAATCTCTGTATGCGCGCCAGCCGATTCAATGGACGCGTGTTTAAACTCACAACGACTTTAATCGTTTTAGAAAGACACAGAGGAAAGAGAATTTTCCTCGATCGTCAGATTATCACCGTCGCTGCCAACGATAGCAAAAGCTCTGACAGCGATGTTGATGCGGCTACAATGGAAGGCTGTATCCCTGATAGGAACGGGTAAAATTCGATGATAGGTTTCATAAGAGTTGCTACTTCTGTCGCGAAATAAATAAATTCATAAAAGTTGTCGCGTTTCAGATCGTGAACCGTGGCTGAGCCTCGAGAGAGCCTTGTCGAACGCCCTCAGGAGCGTCGGAGCTATATTACGATTTCGAGTGATATTACCATACCGTGCATCCCTCGAAGAAGTTCGAAGAATTCTTCGTCCCACTTACAATGTTTCTCGCAGAGGTGAGTCGGTCCATGTGAAATAACGATAATATCGATCCCATTAGAGAAACTATTCTGGAAACAAATTCTGGAAATTTCCCTTTCCTTTACATAATAGAACACGTGGCGAGAGGTTACACAATACGCGACTTATTACCAGAGAGACCTTGTTATGACTAAAACCAACGTTATCGATTTTAATACGATGAGCTTTGTTCCTAGTATTTTTACATTTGTGCTTGTAAGGCTTCAAACTTTAACCTCTTCGAATGTACAGTAGTCTAGCGTAGGTTTTAAAAGTAAACAAAGGAAAAGTAACAAATTGTATTTATTTCTAAAAATGCAAATTTCCACGACATTTGTTCACAGTTACGGTACTATGCCTACCAACTTCGAATGGAAACGACGACGAAGACGACGACGACGACGACGACGACAACGTTTTAACGTCTCGTGTCCTCGGCGAGTTGGACAACGCGCAGTCCTCGAGTCCAGCGTGGAACTCTATGATCCTGATCGTTCATACGAAAGACGATGGCCTCTTCCTGCCCAGAACGAACTCCTCGTTTTCTCATCTAGATCTCTCGCTAACGAGTTTTGCGACCACCAATTTTTCCTCGTCGAACGTGTCCGACGAAACTTATTCGCCTGTGACTATCAGCAATTACGAGGGGCAAACGGTGGAAAAACAGGAAGGACGAAAGTTACGACACCGACGGAGCGAACAAAGGGGGAAAAATCGGTATTCTCCGCCGACGAGTCTCAGTGTCGACTTCCTGGAGAAACTGCTGATCGTAACTCCACTCGACCATAGGTAAGCGCAATTTGTTTTCCCCCTGTAGCGACACCGATGGGTAAAACTTGATTAAAAATTAACTTTTTCAATTTACACACTTTTACATATCGATTACTATATGCGCAAAGACTATATGTATAAGAGTGGGTGGCTCTGCGTTATTTCCATGTTGAATTCGCGAGAGACGTCTGCAGCAAGAAATTCAATGAAACGGTATTTCATGCCAAACGTGCAGTGAAAATGAACCACCAAAGATGAAGCACGTACTTTGGCAAGCAAAACTTATCTAAAACTACATCGAGTAAAAGGTCACCCACTATGACGTAGTCGTTACACGTTTAATATTCAACGGAAAGTTTCGCAAAATTATGCTGTACTTTTAGGTGTTGATAAAAGTGTGCAAATTGGAAAACTTGGTTTTTCATTATTTCTAGTATTCGACTTGGAGTGACTCGTTTTCGTTTTCGTTCTCGTTTCGTAGATACGACGTAGAGAAAATATACAATGGCACGGAACGACACTCGTTGCCGACAGTGTTCGATCATTTGAACGAAACCCTCAACGTCTTAACGTACGACAACTCGAGTATAAACGCATTCAACAACAAGATATACACGTACGTCTTATTGGATTGGCGTATCAATGCCTGGAAGCCCATCATGATCGCCGCGGAACGACAAAGAAGATTCTTCGTGCGGAAATTATCCACGAACGCTGTCGCGTTTCGCGATTCGAATAGCATAGACGTTCCTAAATGTAACGTGGACGTTGACGCTAACGATGACATCGAATGCACGGGTAGAGACAGCCAAAAACCGAACTATATAGGTGTAATTTGTCTTTCGCACCATAAATTCTACAATTTCGATTCTGCGAAAGAAATAGTTAAGCAACTGGGTTTGTCGTGTCCTTTCAGAGAATTCTCCCAGCGAAACGGCGTTTCGTATCGCACATATCGTGACCATCGTTCTGGGATCTCTGCTGCTGACCTTGTTCGCGATATTGATCGCGATCTTAATTAGGTAAGAAGTCGATGCGTTAATTCCACGGGAGCTCGAGATACGATCGTTGAGCAAAAGCGATAATACATCGACTATGAATCTAGGAAAAAGCTGCTGAAGAAGAGAATGTCCAAAGGTCCCTACAAGATCATTTTAACCACTTCAGACTTTGTATTTCCTCAAGTGCCTCGAATGGATGCCAGAAGGGTGATCGCAAATATTCTTTGAAATTTTTCTTGCATTTTTTATTGATACCTTGTTAACCGTGTCACTCCACAGGTAGACGAGGGTATCGAGACGATGTTGTGCTGTTGGTTGCAGCAACTGCAAGAGTTTGGAGGCCCCGAAGTAGAAAAACCAGATCTGCTTCAACTAGGGAGCGTGTCATCGTTGAGGCCCTATCTACGAGCGAGCACGGGGAACTTGTCGCGTCATAACTTATTTAAAGACCCGCGCGCTAGATATAACGTCAGTATATACTAAGCTTTCTTTTTATTTCAATTAGTATTATTATGTAACCAAGTTCCGATACCTTGTCATTTGTTAGGGTGACTTGGTGCAGCTGAAGGAGTTGCCGACCCAGGGCACGTTTGAGCTGAAAAACAAGGCCATGGACGTGCTGGTCACGGTAAAAACACTTTTCCCGATTAAATTTTAAGAAAGAAAAAATAGAGACTAGTAAGAATCACTTATCGCGCGACCGCTATGACAGATTCATGGGCTGCGCCACGAGAATTTGAATCCCTTAATCGGATGTTTGAACGAACCCACGAGGCCGTGCCTAGTTTACGAATACTGTTCGAGAGGATCGCTGGAGGATGTCCTGATGCAGGACGAGATCAAACTCGACTGGTCCTTCAGGCTATCCTTACTTACCGATCTCGTACGGGTGAGTATGTATGTAAAAAATTTGTCGTAGTAGCATCAGGTTTCTTCGTTCTTTCACGAACTCGCAAGTTTCGTTCCTTTTGTATCGTCTGCTATAAAGGGTATGAGGTATCTTCACGGTACACCTGCGCGGGTACACGGTTATCTCACTTCGAGGAACTGCGTCATAGATGCTCGCTGGGTCCTCAAAGTAACCGATTATGGACTACCTGCTTTTTACGAGGCGCAAAACATCGTCTCACCTACGAAAACTGCTCGAGGTATGGCGAGCTATAGCGTAAAATAAAAATAAATAAATCGAAATGAAATTTATATAATGCTCTCTTGCCTTTAGATCTCTTGTGGACGGCACCAGAACTCTTGAGGCATCCAAACATGCGAAAGAAGGGCACTCAGGCGGGGGACGTTTACAGTTTTGGCATTATTATGCAGGAAGTAGTGGTTCGTGGTGAACCATTCTGCATGCTTGCCTTGACGCCAGAGGGTGAGCAAATTCTCACTCCAAAAACGTATATTTAACCGATACATGTACGAATGCTTGATAACGAATCTGAATCTTAACGCAGACATTATCGAAAAAGTGATGAAGCCGCCGCCATTGATTAGACCATCGGTAAGCAAAGGCGCCGCGCCACCGGAAGCGATAAACATCATGCGTCAATGTTGGGCGGAAGCCGCCGACATGAGGCCCGACTTCGACGACGTTCACGATCTATTCAAGAAACTCAATCACGGAAGGTAAAGTAACTTTGATTGAACAAAATTCGTGCGATGATCGAAAACTTGGGATGAATTAATAAAATTTCACTCGCTTTTTTATTTTCATCCATAGAAAAGTGAATTTCGTGGACACGATGTTCCAAATGTTGGAGAAGTATTCCAATAACCTGGAAGAATTGATACGAGAGCGCACGGAGCAGTTGGACATGGAGAAGAAGAAAACGGAACAACTCTTGAACCGAATGTTACCCAGGTGAATAAAAATGTTTAGCTAGAAAACGTCCACGAGCAAGAAATTGACGATCGATCGACTCGTATCTTTCAGCTCGGTCGCTGAGAAATTGAAGTTGGGAATGCCCGTCGATCCTGAGGAGTTTCGCGAAGTGACCATCTACTTCTCAGACATCGTTGGCTTCACGAGCATTTCTGCTCATTCGACACCGTTCCAAGTGGTCGATCTTTTAAACGATCTGTACACTTGTTTCGACGCCACCATCAACGCGTACACCGTCTATAAGGTATTTTCAATTCCAAAGCACAAAAGGATGAACGTGTTAATTAAATCGATGCAAATTATCGCGCAGGTGGAAACCATAGGAGATGCTTACATGGTCGTGGGAGGCTGTCCAGTGAGAATACCCGACCATGCCTCTCAAATCGCCACGATGGCACTCGACTTGTTGCACCAAAGTGGTAAATTCAAATTGAGACACCTGCCAAGGACTCAGCTGAGACTTCGAATCGGTCTTCACACCGGTTAAGTAGAAAAATACACCTCCTGTCGATTATGCGTTGATTGCCGTCTCGAACGTTTCGTGTGTATTCTGCTAACATAGGTCCATGTTGCGCTGGCGTCGTTGGTTTAACGATGCCAAGGTACTGTCTATTTGGCGACACCGTTAACACCGCATCGAGGATGGAATCGACGGGTGCTCCATGGCGCATACACTTGAGTCAAGCGACGAGGGATCGGTTGTCTCAGGTTGGGGGATATCGAATCGAGTACCGAGGCTCCACGGAAGTAAAGGGCAAAGGAAAGATGCCTACCTACTGGTTACTGGGAAAACAAGGATTCGACAAGGAACTGCCCAAGCCACCCCCGCTCGGGTAAGCCTTTACATTTATTTTTTCTTTACCTCCGATCCAGCACTTGTTCCGATAATATAACACTCTTAATAACACTCTATAATACTTTTCAACAAGATTTTATACATATACGTATATCGATAGAGCCTACGACACCAATGATAAGGTCGCTGCGCGTATATCTCGACTTAGTAGATCTTTATTCGAGCTGTTTGCTTTTCAGATTTTTAATGCTTTTATCTGTTGCCATTCTGCCGCCATCTTCAGGGAAAAACAAAGGTAAGTCGAGCAGAAAAAATGAATGGACACGATAATACGAAATGCACACATAATCGCCCAACACTCAAAGACTAATTATTCTTTAACTCTCGATTGCTTCAATTTTATTCTAGTTTGTTCTACCTGTAAAATGATATTTCTTGGTATACGTTCATGGCAAACTAAACGATAAGTAGCTAATCCTGCTGAATTACCAAAAGTCCTTATAAGCAAACACGATACATAAATAGAGGGTTAGACGACAAGATGACGTCGTGTTTGAAATTAAACAATTTTCGCTTTTCACGCATTCCATCGAACACTGAAGGATGAACGAGAGTCTAATCTTGGAGAATTTGAGCACGGAAACCATCGTGTCGCCGGAGGACGAGTCTTTGAGCAAGGATATGCCAGCCGAAGAGTCGACGGATGAAAAAAGATTGGACGAGAATCCTAAAGTCGACGCTGACAAGTCCGAGGTTCGCGTCGAAGAGAATAATCCAGAGGAGGGTAAAGTCGCGGTGTCTGTACACGACGAGAAAAACCTAGGGTCGAACAGTTCTCCAAAATTAGGGACGGACTCGGGGAAAATTGCGCCGCCGAAAGAGGCTGCGAATAGAAAAGGAAACGATAACGCTACTAATGCAGTGAGAAATTCCTCTGGCGAGACTCAAACGTCTTTGGCAGCTTCCACCGTATACTCTGGTGAAACAGGTATACTCGGTGCGTCGAACACTTCTTTAGCGTCGATTTCAAGCTCGGCCACGGCTCCTTATAGACCTGGACCTACGAGACACAGGAGGATAGGTGGCTACATCGACGAGAACGATCTGAGCACGCCGTACAATTATTACAGGTGTCTTTCGCCGAACGAACACTATGGCAAGTCCTTATCCTTTCTACGTTGCTTTATCGTCGAACAAATTTCTTGAAAATTTCCTTTAAATCTCCGTTACTTTTATTTTAGGAAGAACATCGAGCCTGGGCTCCCGTTTCCTGAAGAGACAATTCAGCCTGGATCGCCCAGACGAAACCGTTAGCGTCACCTTCGGCGACCAGAACAATCAACGCCAGCAGCAGCAGCAACAACAACAACCGCAGCAGCAACAACAGAATCTGAAACCCGCGGCGAGACTCTTCAAGCAAAACAGCGCTGGTGCGGCGAACGACTTGGAACGTATCGAAGAAGTTCCAACGACTCCTGCGCCCCTCTTTCAGCATTACAGACAGGCAGCGTCGATTTCGCTCTCCGTCGAATCCCTGACGCTTCGTTGAAACTTGGAACGTTGAACGCTTGTTCCACGAGTAACTCCTGCGTTAAAATTTCCCACGAACAATGACAATCGCCACGCGTCAAGGAGCTGCAATGATCCTGTAGGAATCGTAAACCGAGAACTCGTTTCAGAAAGAAGATGTTTCGTTCTACGTGAAATTAACTTTACAATCCTATTTCCGCAATCACTGATAATCGACAGTCAATGTGAATCGTGTGTATTCATAGCTCGATAAGTTTAGTAAGACTTCTGAGACTGGGTTACACGAATTCAGGAATCCTACTTAACTTGACGGGCTACGCGCAAGAGATGATAGAATGTAGGGAAAAGATGAATTATACGGTCCCGTTATCGCGGATGACAATCTCTATTACGTACAAACGTTCATGCATACGCATTTATTCTTGTTTCTTTTTAACGTCGAATGAATATTATACATTCTGCGATTGAACAGAGTGAGATCATCGTATATTTTTTAGAAAATACTTTCTGATGGTAAACGGGTGTAAAAGCGTTGATTGGATCTAACGATTTAAATTAATTTTTCTCTGGTGTATTAAATCCACTATCGTTCAAAAATAAAATGGACGAATCTGTTGAACAGTGTTCGTTAGACGCGCTGACAGGGTAACAGGGAGGAACTTTTACTTTCCACTGAAATTTCTGACTTTTGCACATCGTTATCATTCCGAGACTCTTCATTATCGCTTCCAAATCGTCGACAATAATTCGAAATCTTAACGCATAGGAGTGTGTGTAGTTTGTTCCGTATTTTAAATTTTTTGTTCGTCTCTTCGTGCAATTATCCCGAGAATCGATTACGCGATTTCCTCGAATACAACTCGAGACTAACAATAAGTAGATTAAAGAATCAAAGTGCATTTCGATGCGCCAAAGAAAATTACATACGTACATTACATACGTCCGAACGGTGAGCCAATTTGAGGGGAAACGCAAGAAAGGCACGTAAGCGGACGTGGCTGGTGTGGTTATGCAATAATCTGTGTGTTAGATGTATAACATAAGTGTACATAGGATATACGATATAGATTGACGATTTCGATGTGACGAGGATTCGCGCGCGAGAATTTTATTGAGAATCCTCCGAGTGTTTGCGTCGATCGAATCGGCGCTGTTTCAGAATTTTACTGATACGATTTGTCAACGAAAGACGACAAAACGGTAATAAAACGTAACGTACAAGTATTTCTTAAGATTACGCTAAATGAATGTCATCGGAGATCGGAAATGGGCAAAATTCCTATCTAAATACAAAACGAATAAAGAATAGAAGGCAAATAAAATTATATTTCCTGTTTGATTATCTTTCTCTTTATTCGTCGTTCCATCGTTCGAATACAATTTTGCCCATCTCTATCCAAGACGAACGAAACCACATGTTCATGGTTTCTTTTCCGTAACGATGCGGCCGAAGATGTATTATTGAATGGATGTTACAACGCGTTAACATAATATTAAGTCCTGAGAAGTAAAATTTTATCGATTGAAAATTGAAACGATATTCGTTCATCCCTTATCCTTCAATTCTCCAGGTCTGGCGTACGAGGGGGAAAGAAAAAGACAAGGATTCAACGGAAATACGAAAATATCTATATTTTTCTTATACACCGCTTGTTCACCATATTCATGTTTAACCTATGTACAGGGTCGCTCGCTGCAAGTAAAACTACCTAACGATTTCTTGTCCGTTTGTCCAATTTTAGATTATCGATCCGTCGAAATTTCGTTTTGTTACCAGGCACTGTGAAGAGAAAAAATATAAAAAGATGAGGATAAGTTTTCGTTTTTTTATCGTGCCAAAGTAAAAGTAATGCCCACCCATACGGAGCAGCTTCTTTGAAAACTGGTGCTGGCCTTTCGACTATCCTTTCAACGAAAATGGGTTTCTCAACGTATTCGACGTATTTTACAGCTGGTGGTGGGGGTGACAGATAGACATGATGAACTTCCGGTGCAGTGTAGTATCCAGCTTTATATCTAAAGAATATATCATATATTTTTTGTATTATTTACGTCGATTAATTTTTCTTCGCGATTCTCTGGTCGCAATCGTGAGAAGAGCTTACCCTTTCGCGATGCCTAAACCAAAACCAAGAAGTCCTGCACCTAGAAGCTTCTTCTTCAAAAAGAGCGTCCTTTTTTGTCTGTTGAGCGTGACTCCAGAGCTTGCGTCGTTCTCTGTTTGTATGGCGGGGCTGCTGTCGAGGATCGAAGAAACACCTTCTTCGGCTGGTAAAACATCCTCGGCTGAGATGTACGATACAAAGCAGCCGCATACAATAGCGAGAACTGCGAAGCTAGCGAGATGCATCTGGTACCAAAAACAGGGAAGATATATAAACGCGTTCGCTCTAAGAAATTTTATTTGCTCGAACGTGAAACATTTTCGTTGCTTACCTTGTCGCTGGTCTCGGTGTCGAACGAGTTAGGATATTCCTGAACGTACAAAACGAATTGGTTGGTGTGACGCCTTTTCGGCAGCCCCATTTCATTTTATAAGAACTCGCCCACCTTAGAGACGCGACCACAGGAATCCTCCCACCCTAACCCGACCTATTCGCGTTCATTTTCCTTGTCCATACGTCGCGTCCTCGTCAATGAACGATGAATTCACACGATCCAGATCAATGTCAATTATTATTCTGGGATTACCGTTCAATTACGCAACGTGAACATCCTTGTTTTTGAAACATCGGGTACAGATATATTTCATGCACGTACGATTTCTCGCATAAGAGTGTTGCGTCGACACTTCCCAGATGATTAACTTGAAATTTAAAAATAAAATTGTAGTTAAAAAACATAGAATACATAGAGCAACGCAATTTATCCCGAATAAAAATGCATACCAATCGATGCCGAATAACGTCGACGCACAACAAAATCTGTGCTTCCAGCTGCCTAATGTATTCCAGTATGCAAGTACGCTGTTGCTCAAAGTTGCGAAAGCAATCGAACTCTCTTCGTTGCCTGGATTCGATAACACAAAGTATGTGCCAATAAGATGTTTATAAAGGTGTACGCTCCGTTCGAAGGGGGAAAATAATAAAATAAAATTCGGAAAAAATAATTTCACGCAAGAAAGTTTCAATGAAAATCTACTTTTTCAAGATGATCGTTCCAGTCCATCTACCAATCGATGACGCAAACGAATCGCATCGAACAGGATCGTGCTATGAATAACCATGGGAATCGTTGAAAACGAAAACGAGATCGACGATCCGGGTTCCATACACGTTACGTTCGATACGCGTAACGCTTGGACGTGGTCGCTTTAATCGCGCGTGTCACAGGTTGGACGAACGAACATCGAATCGTAATGAAACCTCGGTCGTTTTCGGTGTACCTTCGTCCACGGCCAATTTCTTTCCGTGAAACGCGGAGACGCGCTAGTCATTCAATCGTCATAATGCGAACAAGACTCTTCGCGATCACGGTAGACGAACAAAAGGCTAGAAAAATTAGAATGAAAAAGGAGCGAAGGCGGAAACTCGTTCGTATTCTCGATACGTCGCGCGAACATTGCGATTTCGTCCACTCTCTTGCATCGCTCCGATTCATCAAGTATTCATCGACGGAAATCCATCTCGCAACATTTTTGACTGCGTGTCTCACCTTTCAACAACCAGGATTGCCCAACTGTTGCCCATACCCGAGTTTTCGAGCGAAATTTTTACTGGCCTGACTCTTGGTCGAAGCTCATTACCGCCTCGCGCGTCACAAGTGAAATTGACAATGTGTGTACAAAGCTTATTTAAGCGGAAACGTCGCTCGTTTCTGTCAGAAAACCAGTAGCGTGAAAAGTGAGCACACCGGTTCGCCGCTGGTAGACACACGGTGCTCCGACTACAAACTCATCGAGTGTAGTTTCTTCTTTTACTTTTAATTTTTCTCATTTTCCCAGGCGAGACAACGATACTCGCATAGAATTAAAAATCAGTCTGATTTTTTGCGTAGGATGTCTACACCCAGAGTTACGCTAAACGAGGTCACAAGTTTTTCTGTTCGCATCGTGCGCAACCATGTACTACTTTGTCATAATCCATTACTTATACTTATACGTGACATAATTTCTGTAGCTTGGAAAGGTGTAAGTATCCACGATATTCCACATGGATCTATTCGATCATATTCTTCGAGAAAAGTGTCGAATGTCGATCACTTTTTACGATGATCGCCTTGAAGAGTATACTTACTTGAACGACTTGGAGCCTTTCGAAACATCCATTAATATCTAGTAAAATCTGGGTGACCACACAGATGAATGATCGAATGCTAAACAGGCTGCCCTTGGCTCGGATCGTCCAGCGTTGTTGCATCCAATTCGATCTTAGGTGAAGATTTTCCATGCGCGTCAAACGCTTGCGACAAAGCCAGAGTTCCGACCAAGCGGACAAATTAATCGAAGACGCAAATACGCGCCAAGAACAAAGCGCTTTGCGAGCTGTGCATCGTTTGGCTGTTTGGTCTGTACGCGTAAGACTCAAATTGGAAATCCTAGTTTCGAGAGAAACCGCGTCTGACGCGTGGGAATACACCATCGGCAGCAGTGCATATCTGCGTATTAGAAAAATCCGTGAGATCACCAAAAGTAGGACACAAGAAAATACTCGTCATCGTGTAATGAACACAGCATACATTAATAACAGATAGAGATTGATCGATAGGAACCTAGGTATACGCGTGAGAATTTGTATTTAGTTTGCGATAATAAATTTGAATTTCGATCGATTTTGAGATTAAATCTTTATTAAATACGTATGTACAGAAAAATTGTATGTCTTTCTCATGCAACGAAACTCAAAGGTTTTGCTCGTTCGTTTGCACCAAGTAACGCCGAGATTCTTTTCGTTCCTGGAAATGATTTTCGATTCTAGCTTCTATCCCTCATTTACTCCACCTGTGCAAAAAAAGAAATTGTCGTTAGAGCTTCGCTTCGATGTCGTTGTTCATCGAGTGGAACGCATACGTACGTTTTCTGACTTGCGTATCCACCAGCGTAAGCACCTCCAGAGTAAGAACCACCAGAGTAAGAACCACCAGAGTAAGAGCCACCAGAGTAAGAGCCACCAGAGCTGAAGAGTGTCGACGATATTCGTTAAAACGTGGACATTAAAGGAATGACAAAAGATATCGCGAACGCTAAACAAGTTCTACGGTAGTACCGAGGTCTGCTGCCTCGTCTCGGAATAGCTGATTAGTCAGAGAAAAAATTCATTGCGTAACCGAGACGTTAACATAAATTCCTGGACCCGGTTTTTCGCGAAACTACTTTGCTTAAAATGATTCTTTAACAACTCGCACGGTAATGAACCGATCTTCGTACGATTGGGCACGTGTAAAAAGGAAACGTGTCTTTATCGCTTGAATTACGAATCTCTTATCTGGTACAACTTTGTTCTACTTAATTATAGCCACCTTTTCGCTTTCAATAAACCAGCCCCGACGACTTTGGCGCCAATAAGAGCTTTAGCTCCGAGAGCAGCGCCGCCCAACAAGAGCGCCTTCTTGGCCAGAGCTTTGGCTCCGAGGGCGGCTCCACCGATCAACAACAGTTTTCCAAATGGCGACCTTTTTTGGCGAACAAGGTGCCCTTGATCTTGATCATTCCGTGTTGCTAGCAGCTCTGTCTTGTACGGTATCGGCTGTGCCGCGTGGATGTGTTCGAACAACAACAAAGCGATGCTCAGTACGAGGAAGTACCGCGATACCATCTGAAAAGAGACACGAGAATTACTTGATGTTACGATAAAAGAAAATAATCGTTTCTAAAGTTACGACAGAACAGGGGGCAAAACGAGGCACGTGCTCCTGGCACTTTAGTTACCAAAATGCTGTTTTTACCACATCCCACATCGTCCAACACCCCTTTGCGGTAATTTAATTTTACAACCAATGAAGTGTAACTACGTTTCCCCACAGAAAACTCAAACACAAACGTGGCGAACGCGTCGTGGAAAATCGAGAAACGGTCACTGATCGACGGAGAACTCTTACCTTGTCGGAATTAACACTGGTAACGAACAAAACATTCGAACGCTTCCACCGAAAGACTTTTATACGCGGAATGTCGAGATTTTACCCCTCCCATTTCGCACCCGCCACTACTTATAAAACCGGAATGCGCGAATCTCCTTCTCCCCAGCCTCTCGAAAGCTATCTTCTTTGCTTGACCGTACTTTCGTCACCCGCCCCTCCCGTCGCGAGCAAACGATCTTCTCGATCTCCTAATTTTAAAATCTATTTCAGCGAGTGGACAACATCGAAATGCACTCTCGATTTCTGTATGGAACAGCTGAGTATACTCGTCTTGCAAAAAATTAGAACATGTAACACATTTAACTATCATTATATGACGGGGTGTAATCAATGTTCTGATTATCGACTTCTTTGATGCATGTCTGTTGGAAAAGTACTTCTAATGCACTTGTCGATAAATCATCGTGCGCGTGTTGCACGTCCACTTTTTGTTCAATTTACATTTGTATATGGCACAAATAGTTTGTCGTTGTGTTTTTATACCGTGTAAGCATCACACCTTCGTCTCTAGTTTATACATTTGCCACGTCTTCTTCTTTCTGTATTCATTATTGCAGGAAGAAAATCCATTAAATTTTCATACCGAAGACTATCCGAACGATACGTTACTATAAAACGATTAAGGAAGAAACCCGAGGCTATACATAGTACATTTCCAGTTATTCGACATCTGATTTCGCGTGTCGTTTAGGTATTATAATTAGCTTCGTGTCTAGCTGGTTCATGCGTTTCGAAGATTCTATGCTAATTGTAAGTAACATTTTTGCTTGCGCGAGTCATCTGAGGTTATTCACTCGATCCTCGTGGTTGCTTCAAGGTTGTTCAAACACACATAGATTGCATGGTGAAAGCCCATAGATGATCGGTGTGTTAGGGAGCTGAAGATGTTGCCCCCCGGACGTAATTGAGATTCGGATGACCAAAAATGATGGAAAAGGTCATTTCACCTGTTACCTGCTAACTGTTTGCCTAATAAATAATCTTAGCAGTGTTGCATAAATAGATAAGATGAGTTGCTGATTTGTCGATTTCGATAAATTCTCCAAAAGAATGTTTAAAATACGATGTCAGTCGAAACTATGATCAGTTAATTAATCGCGTAATCGAGAAGTACGAGAAGAACCCCTACATGGTGGTCGTAAACGTTCCACGTACGTATACACGTATAAACTGAGCAACGATTGAGCATTAAGATTAAGTTTCATCGGCATCGAGCAAGAAATCGCAACATATAAAACGATGATTAACCTTGTACTGCATCCTTTTTAATATTTCCTCTTATAAAAGAACGTTAACGAAGAAGATCGATCGAAGTAAAACCCCGTATAAGCCCCCTAAATATCGAAACAAATTCCGATCTCCTAAACATACTATCGACAGCAGTCGTCAATCTGGAGCAGCGAGTCGGGAACTTGAAATCTTGTTTCGTAGGAAAGTGATTAAGACAAGATGCCTCCTAAACGCAAAAAAGGAAAAAGAAAAGGACGCGGCAAGCCAACGGTAGCGCGGGATTTGAAGCGGGAAGCGTTGGACCGCGAGATTAAGCTCAGCGCTCTGAATACGGA